TTGTGATTTCAATTCTTTGCTTCTTCTTTGTCTTTTAGTTGTAGACTTCCTTGTGTTGAATCCAGCAGCAAATGCGTAACTTTTATAAAATTCAAGGCCCTCTTCAAGATTATTAAACTTCATCCCTATAGCTGGTTTCAACTCATTAGGGCATATTGGAAGCTATTCTTTTGTTCCTCCAAGAGTGAACAAAGGTGTTAATTTAGGAGAAACTACTATTGTAGGAGTAGTTGGCACATTTGTGATGGTACTAAAATGACTGTCAAGTTATTCGTTGTTGCACATCATTTCTGACATCAAATATAATAGAAATAACAAGTCATTAACAATTCCACAAAATAGTAACAAGTGAATATGCACCCCCTTAAACACACTTACACACACACGCACACAAAATAATTTCATTATGTATATTAGAACTAAAATCAGTTTCAAATATCAGAAGTGCAAGCGGAAAAATGAGGGGGTAGGGGGATAGGTTTGTATAGGGAAGTGGAAGAAGGGAGTATGGTTAGTGTGTAGGAAACAGACCAAGAAGAAGGTGGTGGAGCTTGTGTGCAGGAAAGCAAACCAAGGAAATCAGAAGTGCATGCAGAAAGATGAGGGGCAGGGGGTATAGGTTTGTATAAGGAAGTGGAAGAAGGGAGTGTGGTTGGTGTTCAGGAAACTGACCAAGAAGAAGGGGGTGGGGCTTGTGTGGAGGCAAGCAAACCAAGGAAATCAATGTTTATTTGTGAAATAAGTAAACAATTCTTTGATAAATGATCAAATAATTCAATGATTTGTGCATCAGAGTATTATTGGTTCCACAGTTTTAGGAAGCTCACTAAAAATCTCATATCAGAACACTATATTGCTGAATCATGTTTTTAACCATATTAATTACTACTTAGAGCATAACTCTTACACTCACTCACTCACACACACACACACACACATACACACATAATCTAAAATTAGAACTGAAATCAGTTTCAGAAATTAGAAGTTCAAGCAGAAATCAGTTTCACAACCTTGTGATTATGTGTCTATGTGATATTTAGAACAACATTGATAATAAAAGGATATTAGTAGGTTTAAATGCACCACCAAGTTTATATACATAGTAGTTTTGATAAATCTTGCTCATTTGTCAAATGAGCAGCCAATAATTTGCTCACTTTCCAAACGAGCAAGGAATTATTTTCTAAACTCCTTGATGGATATAATACGTAGTATGAAATTCCAGTTTTCATTGCAGAACTTACCACCTTCCCCCAACACACACATACACAAAAAGAGTTGTTTCCTACTTCACATAAAAGTCTCATTCCAAAAAAGTATAAGCTTTCTTTCGTTTAAGAGATTTGTATAGGGAAGTGGAAGAAGGAAGTGTGGTTGGTGTGCGGGAAACAGACCAAGAAGAAGGGGGTGGGGCTTGTGTGCAGGCAAGCAAACCAAGGAACTCAATGCTTATTTGTGAATCATGTTGCTAACCATACTAATTACTACTTAATATGAAGTCCCTTAACAATTACACACACACACACACAAAAAAAATAATTTTAGAATCTTAATTTAGAACTGAAATCAATTTCAAAATTTGTCTAAAAAAAGTGTAATGATACTCATAATTGAAATCACACTTTTTTTGGACAATTTCAAATATTACGATGACTTCAAATTAAGCTAATTACTCCAAATCCACCAATGTATCTCCTAGGCTGCTGCCTACAAAAACCATACACTCTTACACACACACACACACACACACACAGTAATTTCAGAATTTAAAATTAGAATTGAAATCAGTTTTTGAAATCAGAACACACAAAAGTGCTCAATCTAAGAAGCACAACCACTAACAAAACTAACTATACTAGCAACAATAACAAGAACGCAACAATGATGCTCAAATTTAAAATAACAAAACAAGAACGATTGTACCACAACAACACAACTTATTTTGCTCATTTTATAGTTGCTCATTTTTTTTGTATTTGCTCATTTTTAATTCTTTTTGCTCATTTTAATTATATATGTCCAATTTACATACCTTCAATTGAAATACTCAAATAAAAAATTGAGCTCATTCAACTGGACATAATAACATTAATAGGCAGTTTATTAGTTCTTAAATACTCAAATCGAAAATTTCTCATTGAATTCTAACGAATATAATCAAATTTTTTAACGAAAATTATCAAAAAATTTAACGAATAATTTGAAATTCTCAAACACGAAGATTAACATGCAATTGAAAAACTTTTTGTAAATTTTGATGTTAAGATTAAACTAAGATCATTGAATTTACAAAATTTACAAAACTAAAAGAATTACAAACCTCTATAATTTATGGAAATTGATACTCGTGAACAAGAAGAGGAGAGATAAATTGTCGAGTTTAAAAAGACGCCATTGATAAATTCTTGAAGCTTCATGGTGGAGAGAGAGCAGAGCAGAGCAGAAGCTTAGAAACAGTTAAGCATGGTTGTTAGAGAAGGTTTATTAGAGAATGTTTATATCATTAATCTCAGCTGTTGGATTTATTACAATCCAATGGCTGAGATTTGTCCTCACATAAATGATATGTTCTCACATAAATGGTGGTTCTCACCGGATTCCAACCCTATATATATATATATATATATATATATATATATATATATATATATATATATATATATATATATAGTGGAGGGATCTAATGAGAATAGGTCTATATGTGAGAACTCTATTACATATGAGAACAAACCTTAACCATTGAATACCTCATGATCCAACTATTGAGATTGCTCACTTAGTAATGACAAAAATGTAATTTACATTTTTTTTTGTTTGGCTCATTTTGAGCAATAAGTTTTTGTTCATTTATCAAATGAGCAATCAATTATTTGCTCATTTATCAAATGAGCAACAATTCTTTATTCATTTATCAAATGAGCAAAAAAAATTTTAAATATTTTTTTTACGTTATATTTTCTTTTTTTTTGTTTTTGTTTTTTTTTTTTTATTTTTTTTTATTTCACATTTATCAAATGAGCAACATTTATTTGTTCATAAATGAACAAATTTTTTTTGCTCATTTGATAAATGAGCAATAATTCTTTGTTGATTTATTTAATGAGCAAACAATATTTCTTTGTTTTGTTTGCTCATTTATCAAATGAACAACTATTCTTTGCTCATTTATCAAATGAGCAACAATTCTAAAAAATTTAAACTAATATGAAACCTTGAACTTACTTACTATATCTGAAAATGTAAACAATTGTTAGACTATAAGAGACCAATTGTATACTACTTTATATTATGCACTTCATTTTTTGCCTATTTTTAAAGTAGAAAGTTCACAAGGTTAATTTAATACATATTGTTCTGCTCATATCCTTCGCAAATGAAATTAAAATGAGCAAACTAAATTAAAAATAAGCAAAAACACATACAATAAAAATGCATAAATGAAAATGAACAGAATCTCAGAAAATTGCTCATCTCCCTCGTCGTCTTCCGCCGTATGTTTCCATTCAATGGTTGTCGTTCAATGAGTTGGTTATCAACATCTTGTCACACCATTGTTTCCTTTGTGATTATTTCTATGGTGTTTCTCTTTTCGTTGGCGTACCTCTGTGACACTACGACGTTTCAAGTTTCTGGTCCGTGAAATTCGATTAAATGGGTTTTCTGGGTTTATTTCTCCAATTAATTAGAAATCCTTCTCGCATGAACAAGCTTTTCTAGTTTTCTTATCGTTTTATTATTTTGTTAATGTCATTTTTACTCGGTGATGTTCGATTTAATCATCATTCGTGACTGCTTTTCTTAATCAGAGTTAATGGTACTCTTTTAGGGGTTATTATTATTACTTGTTTAGTGAAATTGGTGTATAATTAATGATTCGATTAATTTTGTTGATGAACACTCGTCTCCTCCTATAATTTCAGTACTTACAGTGTTATAATTTAGAGAAAGAGAAGGTGAAGAGAGAGAAAGAAAGAAATGTGGAGGTGAAAGAGAGAAATAAGGGGGTTGGTTTAAAATACTCTTTTGGTTTTGATTTTTTAGGGAATAATCACAGCCCTCAGATTTAAAAAATTCAAAGGTCTAGATTTATTCTCACAGAATTTGGGGTTCTCACGTAAGGGATGTGTTCTCACATGATCCCATATCTTGTGACCTAGCTGTGAGACCGACTTTATTTATTAGTGAAGTGATATGATATGATACATTAAGTAGAGATAATTTCCTTAAGTCATACCAACTGGTGAGGCAAAGTGAACTCCAATTGTGAAATTACATGTGTGACTCATTAAAACTGGTATATACTTGAGAATTTGAGATCCTAATTTATTATTAGAGGAACTCCAGTTGTGGAATTACATTTTTGACTCGTTAAAACCGGTATACACATAAGATCCTAATTTATCATTAGAGGAATTCCAATAGCGGTTTTACATTTCTGACTCGTTTAAATCGGCATATAAAACATGAGATTCTAATTTTGTTTTATATTTTGCTAATCGATTTTCACTATAACCCAACATTTTGTTGACGGCATGTTCCAGTACTCCGATAATTCGTTGTAAGAGTTTTCAGAATGTTGTATTGGACTAAACTTGAAAAAGTGTGCTTTCGAAGTAAGTTAATGCAAATTGCTTAAATATGTAGTTAGATTAATTCAACGTTCTTGTGAAGAGTGAGCTTAATTTCTCATGGAGATATACAAAATCTTTCATGATTATGTTTTGATTAGGATCTTGCTAACGAACGTTTCCGGGGCGTTAAATAACCCTTTAAAATAGTTCCTAAAATAATATCAATTTGAGAATACATGCCAAAATCATCTCGTTTATTTCAAGTTAATATTTATATACTTTTAATCATCTCATTAGCTTTTGCCTTTTAATTATTAAAATTCGTTAAAATATTATTGTAGATTTCTTTTACATTGTAATCTCTATACATGTCAAAAATCAAAATGCCAAATAATGGGGCAAACAAATAACATCAACTCAAAATAATTGAATTCACCCACAATAATAACATTACTTTATTGATTTGATTACTTGCAACACCTTACTTTGATTTTCTTTTTTTCTTTTTTTTTTTTGGTTGTTGTTGGGAGATAAGATTTGAAAAGTAATGAAAACAATGATAAAACCTCTGTAATAACAAGAAATCAGCTTACAAATGAGTATTAAGCCTTAGTTCTTAATCTTGCCATTCTTCCTTGATATTTGATACAATTCCAGCAATCTTCAGACATTAAGTAGTTCACAAATTGATAGGTAACACCAGAGGTGAATCACCCTTGTCAACCACAAATGTTTTGGTAACTTTCTTATCAAAACAAACAATATCCACTTCATAAGTCCCATGGAAGCCTGTAAAGCTAAACTGTCCTTCATCATCAATATGACCATGAGCTCGAGTCAGCCATTCACGCTTGAGCTTGAGATACCTCTTACCTGCTTCATTGATATCACCTTCAGCATTTACAAGGTGTGAGTTCTCCCTGCTCATAAAAAGTTCCCAGAACCCCCATAACATAACTCCTTCCACTGCTGGATGAGCAAAGGCCTCCCGAAGCATGACTTCCAAATCATCTGCTCTTATAAACTCGTTAACTGAAGATACATCAAGCTCTGTGAACCATATTGGAAGGCCGAGAATGCCCAGCTTATCAAGGGCAGAACAGACAATTGAACCAACAGGACTATCAATATGTCCTTGAATTCCCACACCTCCTACTGGTGCACCTTGCTCTTGCAAATTTAACACTTGCTCAATGTATCTCTCGGAACTTGATCTTGGATCATTCCCATCTTCTACATGGTAGTCATTGACAAATAAAAGGGCAGATGGGTCTAGTTTGTTTGCTGTCTTAAACATGTTAGCTCTAATGTCTTTACCTAGATGATCCTGGTAAAATGATCCATGCAACATCTCATTATTGACATCATAGTGCCGGAACTTCCCCTTGTAACGAGTGAGGAGACTTGTAAGGCGGTTTTGGACAGCTGTCATTAGATCGTTTTTACTAAGGGACTTTACCCATGACTGAACTGTTCCCTCTACTTCCCAGAAGATGCAATGCCCTCGAGCTTCAATGTTGTTCTTTTGGCATAAATCTAACATTTCATCAGCATCCTTGTAGTTAAGATTCCCTTGTTGTGCTTCAGTCCAATACCACTTAAGTTCATTTCCAAACACTGCCCAGTTGAAGTTTTCCAGGAAGAAGGACACAAAGTCTTCGTTGTCTATGTTCGTCCTGCTCATGCAGGAACCAAAGGGGAAGCTGTTCTTTGTTTGTCTGACTTTCACAAAGTTGCCAAATGTGCTGTCTCCCGAGAATTTCAAGACTACTTCACGTTTACGTATCTGCAAAACAGAACAGATCACAATGAAACTCAAAATTAAGCATTTCTCCGCTTCTAATCAAGTCAAAAAACTTATGGTTATTTGCTTTTGAACTTATGATGTTGGAGTGGGACTAGATGGAATTGGCACAGTATGCTGTCTGCTTCTTAATCATCATGAAGTAGAAAACAGTCATTTCGTATCTCATTATATTCAATTGGAAACAACCTCTGATGTATAAAAGGGAACAGTCATGTTACTCCAGTATTGAAGTATATTTGACCACCTAAGTCTATTTACAAAAGGCATGGATTCCTTTAGAGGCATCAGGGTAAAGTTGATTTTATATGTTGGATTTCGTAAGATATAAAATCATTTGGAGGTACCTTATCAGTTTGCCTTCTCAATTGTTTGAATCTAGCTTGTCGATCAACAGCGAAAATCTGAAGACTTCCAAGCATTAAGTCAACTCCAGACACAGGCCCCTGAATATAAACCATGACCTTTGATGGTTGCTTCTCAATCCTAAAAGAACCACCAACTTCATGCCATCTGTCATCACTGATCTCAACCTGGCCCCCATTCACCCACTGACCATCCACACTCAGTGCAATGTTGACATTTTGTGGTCCAGAAGCAGTAGATCCAATCTTAACCCAAGCAGAAACCTGATATGTAAGAAAAAGCTCCAGCTTGTCAGTAATCATCTGAGCAGGACCCATCCAGTTTTGTGTACGATTTGTAACGAGGATGTAACGACCACTTAGTGGCTCATGAGGTCCTAAAGAATCAGCAGCCATTGGAGGAAGGATATGCGGTGAACCACTTCGCACACTTAGTGTGCAATTGCCAAGAGGAAACCAGCCATTGGTACCATCACTAAGTTCGCTGTTTTGGATAATATTCACTCCAAAAGAAGCATTCTGTTGTAAAACATTGTCACAAAATTCTTACACATTGGATAATTTACTCCAAAAAATCTTTCAAGTTCAATAATCCAACTCACTATTATCAAGTAAAAGAGTTCAAGGTAAGATGTACAGTACTGACCTGAATTGTTGGTGGTAGAGATGGTGGAGTTTTGGGTGCATGTTTTACGATAAAACTGTTAAGGAGGATGTCAGTACCAGGAGGCGGTCCTTCCAAATAGACAACTACACTTGATGGAGAGCCATTAATAAGAAATTTTCCTTGGAGCTGAGCCCAATCTTTGTCTGTTGCCTGCACACTACAAACAGCAAATTCTTCAAACTAAGTAATTGAGTGAATAAAAATCTACAAACTGCATTTGAATTCAAGCAAGGGTGCATATCTTCAAAAGAATTAGAACATTTGGGAAGCACTATGGGGAAGAAAATAAATAACAAGGTGACTCTGTCAGCCAACTCCAAGGATTGGCTTCTGATTACTGCATTAATCAAGGAATGTAGATATGAAAAACAAAGGAACTTCAAAGTCAGGTTGCAAGCTAAAGAATGCGTGAAATTTACCAAAAATAGAAAAGAGAAATACGATCTGGACATCAACATTACTAGCATAGCATGCTGTCAAATTCTATGCAACGCATACAAATACTCCAAGCTTGGGTATCTTTATAGTAAACTAAAACTGAAGAAGAATTGAAAAAGCTAGCTGATAATTTATTTATAAATAATATGTAGAATGCACAGAAAGTATAAAAAGTGTACAAGCAAAAGGAACTTACTTTGAGATGCCTATGTACTGCTCACGCTTATCTGGTGTCTGAACCCATAGTGTAGCTCGGACATCAGCACTAGAAACGTTACCATAAATCCGAACAACAGCAGTAACCTCGTAAGCTAACTTTCTCTTGACTCTTGGTGTAATATCCTGTTGAATTCCGTTCCAAAATTGGGTGCGTTCTGTTGCTGCAGCAAAAGCCTTGCCAGACTGTGGTTTAATCTTACCATCTGCCATAGAGTCGTGTAACACAATTTTACATCCCCTTCCTGACCAGTTATTGAGTCCATCTTCAAATGCAGGATTTAGAATTATATCCTCATCTTCATCATCCCCACATCTACTCACATTCTGTCAAAGGTTCAAAACAAAAAAAAAATATCATTGAAATCCCAAATTTAGCATAAAAATGGAAATATGCCAACAAGCATAACATAAAGCAATTACAGCATATTAAGAAACTAATTTACATAACAATTCATTTCAGTACAGGGGATATCTTCATCATCCCTCTGCCCCTGTAACTATGGGTATATTTCCAGTACCGAGAATGAAAGTCACCATACATACCATGGGGTTCAAACAGGACATTGTTACTGATTTTACAAGCAAGTCTATGCCAGGGTTAGGTCCTTCAAGATAGAACACAACTCGATTAGGAGCTGTTTCAAGCACGAAAGTTCCTTCCAGGGTTTCCCATTTCTTATTTGATGCTGATATCCTATGCCAGACAAATATAAATATTAGTAGTTTTTAATATATAATTTATTTGAGTAGAATTCTAAATTTCTAATGACCAATTACCTTTCAATTTTTAGATACTTGGTGTCAGATTCTTTGAACTCTAATCTAACCGTGGCTTGAATGTTAGAAGATTGAGTTCCCGAGACACTAACTTGTGCAGAAATTTTATAAGTACATCCCGGAGAGACGAGGCTCGTTATATCTTGTTCCAATCCATGCCAGCACTCCTTCCTATTTATAACTCTTGCATAGCCACCAATCAATTTTGTTGACATTCCTTCAGTATCACCAGACTCAGGTGACACTACAGATGCATCACAAGAATTGGGGTGCCACAAATCCAAGCCTTGTGAAAAGTTGTGATTTTGAATAATGTTTTCAGGAAAGTCAGCCCTTGTATCACCCATATTTCCGTTCATCTTATGTGACAAAAAAACAACAATCTCCATCAGAAGCAGCTTAATATTTCTGTTACCTAATATCAATCAATTTTATCTCCAAAATCCTAAAGTTAGAATTTACCTTTAAAGAACAGTAAGATATTTAAAGGGGGGAAATGAAAAATATGTAACGTGCACACAATTATCATGCTAAGACATCTCAAAGACTTCTATTCAAAGTTCTTGTGAGCATCACTGTTCAAAACACTAAAGATTCACATTGATAAAAAAGCAGGGAACTCAGTTTACTTCACAAAGTTAATAAACAGTATACATATAATAGCCAAAAAGCATTAAGAGCAGTAGTTCATAGGCCCAAAGGTTATATGACTGAGTTATTACAAAATTTGATATGGTACAATTAGTGTACAATAATGACTAATAGACATGATAAGTTTATTGGGACTTTATAGTATAAACACATAACTATATATCAAGATCGTTCACAAATCAGATATAGAGGACCACATAATCCTCCATCTATTTATTGCCCTTATCATAAGGTTAACACCTGCAAATTAAATGAACCATCATTCACTAGATCTGTTATTATGCTAATGCCCTATAAGATTATGATTTTAAACTATTCCACTTTTCTCAAGTGCTTTCAATTGAATAAATTAGTCAACGGCTATAAAATATGATCTTTATCAATTATAAACATATGTCACAATATAATTCCTTCTGATCATAAATGGCTGCTGAGCATCAAGAATTCTTATTAATGGCTGTTTTGTATCTTTGATGTTTGTTTGGTGTTATAGTTTTGTCTTTGTAATGGTGAACCTTGTACATATATTTTGTTAGTTAATATATCGCTTACTTACCAAATAAAAAGATAAAAATTTAATGCCATAATGAAATCACATACCGTGGGGCTGGAACAAGAAATGACCACGGATTTGATGAGCAGGTCTTCACTAGGGTGAGGCCCTTCTAGATAGAACACAACATGATCAGGCATTGATGAGAGCTTAAAAGTCCCTTCCAACTTTTCCCATTTTCCCTTTGATACTGGAATCCTGTGTCAGCCACCAACATATAAATCAGATTTTCCAACAGAATAAAAAAAAGAGTGAAATTCAAAGCAGAGGGGTGCGGAAAAACTCACTTTTCAATGAACAAATATTTGGTGTCCGATTTGTTATACTCTAGCTTCAGTGTGGCTTGAACAGTAGACGACTCACGACTTCCAGATACTCCAACACAAGCAGAAACTCTATATGTTGTACCTAGAGAAACTCTACTTGTTATATCTTGCTCCAATCCTTGCCAGCACTCTTTCCTATTTGTAATCAAAGCATAACTTTCTGATGTTCTTTCAGTATATCCTGACTCAGGTACCACTATCAATGCTTCACAACCATTAGGGCACCAAGAGTTCAGGCTTTGGGTGAAATCATGGCTCAGTATAATATTTTCTGCAAGGTTACTGCTTGTACCGCCCATACTTTCTAACCTTTTCTGTAATGAAATGCAAAAGTCTATCAGACACAATTCAAAATATCTATAATCATCTAACATTTGCTTTTTTCTTTAGTTGATCAAACAACAAACTTTCAGAATTAGAGTTGAAGATGAGATAAGTCTTTCTACAAATAATTATTTAGCATACTGTCCACAGAATAAAAAAGATAATTCTACGGAAACACCTCCAGAGCCTGTAAATAAGGTCTGTTGAGCATTTGAGGTAATGTAGTATTGTTGCTGCAACTAAGTCACATAAAGAATTCTGATGAATTGAATACTTAGCAATGACATCATATTAACATTAAATTGCAAAAGATTGTGAAAAATGAAAATAAAGAAATCGAAATGAGAATGTGAAGACAGAAAGAAATTCCTAGAATCTGAGAGAGAAATAAAAGAATCTGTGCGACAAAATCAGATACTGATTTCCATTAAATGAATTTAAGCATGATTGACTCCTCGTATAAATATACAAGGATGTTTCTCCCAAAGAAATTAGTATGAAGAAGCATAATAACTAATCCACAGCAGCAGTATGTCATGGTCTAACAGCAGAAACAAATTTTGTGAGGTATGTGAGCTCTGCATACAGCATAAGCACAAACTGTATAGTTGGCGTGATCGTCATTCTGATTGTGCCACGGAAACACTTTTCTAGGGCAGTTGCTCCAAAAAAACCTGATATATACTATATCTATCACAACTGATATAACATATAAATATACAAAGTATGAAATCAATATGAGTTAAGTTTAAAATACATAGTTGTATCAATTGCTAATCAAGGAATCTACTAGGTATATATATATAATCCACTTTCCTTAAGACTTTGTTTGGTACAATATTAGGAAAGGAAAAGAAGAGAAAGTAAGGGAAGGGAAAAGGAAGGTGACTTTATCTTCCAATATTTGGATAATGAAAGGAGATAAAGGGAAGAGAAAGAAAATTTGTAATGTATAAATTTTATTTTTCTCTTTCTAGTCAAATTCCTCCAATTTTGGGAGGAAAAGGAAAGCTAAAAATTTGCAAATGGACTTTCCTCCCTCTTCCATTCCTTTCCTTTGAATTCTCATATTATTAATTCAACCAAACATAAGAACATGATTAAAATCATTTCCTTTCTTTTCTTTTCCATCCAAATCCCTTCAACCAAAAATGGCCTAAGCCTCGTGAAAAATTGAAAAATACAATACATAAACAATATTACCGGACAAAGGGAATGATTCAAGTGATGATCAAACAAGTATAAAACAAATTATTCGTGTCCATATTAAGCCATTGCCAAATCAATGCCAACAAAAAGCAAAAATAAAAATAAAAAAAGGAAACAAAGAAAAACAAAGGAAACCTAAACAGAGAAAAGAAATGAGAAAATTATAACAAAACAAAACAAATGACAAATGAATAACCTCATCAGCAACATCAGTGCTGCTACAACTGTTGCTCTTTTGTGGGTTTTCCATATTTTCTTTGAATTCCTACAAAATTCAAATAATAAATAAATTAAATTAAAATATGAAAAATTAAACATGTATAAATGTCAAGTATTTGACCAAAATAAGAGTAAAATTCAACCAGATGATGTTTGATTCTGGAGTTCTGGAATCGACGTGGGAAGCATAAACGTTTGAATTTCCTCATTTATAGGAGAGAAAACTCAAAGGTTTTGTTTATTTTTTTGTGAGAAAAGTAAATTAGGATGTTAAGTTCAAGTGAAGTCTACGAAAAGCGCGGGACCAACTAATCTAATCTTCCAATCAAACCCTTTAATTTCTCTTTCCTCTTTTGGGGTCTCTGAAGGGTGTTTTATTTTGCTGTCGGAAATTTTTGTAACAGTACATTGCCCTTAATTGATGCTGAATCAACCTATCCATTGCGAGTTTGGATAAAAGAGGAGGGTTGCGGTATGTTTAAAACAGGGGTAAAATAATGTGACATTGGTAAACACGAGCCGATATAAGCGGGATGGCAAAGTGTTATCTATATCTGGGATTTGGTTGTATAGGGGACATAGGATATAGGAAATAGGTGTATGCTTGAATTGGAATGGAAGAGTTGTGTTACTCCCACTTGATTCTTTTCTTGTGTAGTCTTCCTCCTTAAGTTATACTAACCTTATCTTTAATTTATGTGTATTGATTCTAAACTTGACTTTAAATGTTAGGTAAGATGGTTTTTCATTGAATATAGGGTATTTTTATGTTGCTAAGCTGTTATTTGTAACTGTATTGTGATTGTTAATGTGCAAGTTGTGGTCCTTGTGCGGATGAACTTATGAGAAAAAACATTATGTGCAACTCTGATCATCCGACAGCCGGTGTTCCAGATTGGTATTGGAAGACTGAAAAATCCCAACGTAAATAACGGTAGAGCAGACTGTTCAGCCAACTATGAATATAAATTTGACCTTTGAACTTCAGTATCCACTTACAGCTTCGTTATATCAGACGTTCCTTCTGTGTGTGTTTGAGAGAACGCCGAACTAATGCTGAAATATGCATGTGTGCAATGTATGCTAGGCTATTGTGTGTCTGTCAACACATGTCGTACTAGGTTCTATGCATATGGCAACAAAGTAGTACTAGAGTTTATCTTAGATCATAAAAAGAGCACCCTGAAGAATTCATTATAGTAGCTTTTACTGATGTATAAAAGTAGCTAACAAAAAAACTAGGAAAGTTGGCATTTTGGCATTCAAGTAAACATGAATAAAATCAAGCAATGGCAGGACTTGCATTTTGGGTCACTAGGATACTTGGTTATTATAATGAATATGACAGCCTAGACATATTCAGGTAACTACCAGACTGATCCAGATAGTTGACTGAATCTAACAAGGAATTTGGTGTAGTCACAGTTGTAATTTTTTTTATCTTTGGTTAAATGGGTAGAATGCTTATCCAGATTCCTAGCTTCCAAATCATTATGTAAAGATGTTGTAGAGTGGACAACTGCTAATATCAAAATGCAGTTGTGTGCATGATTTTTGATGGGCTATGGCAGTCGATTAGCTATAGCTGTTTCTCGAGCATCTATCCTGAATAACAGCAGCTTAAGTTTTCTGTTTCTTCATCTAATAATATGGCTTCCTCGTAGGAAATTATATGCCAAAATATGAGAAGGAAGAAAAACTTTATAATTTCTCTGAATCACTGAAGGTGAGATCACCTACTTTTGTGCTTGATATAGATAATCATGCACAGTCCATCAAATTAGGAGGCTAAGAATCAGTGCGTAATATATTGAAGATAGAACAAACAACTGAAACAAACCAAAATGGTTTGTAAGACATCAGAAATGACCCTTACGTTAAGAATGATAACCAAGATGATGTTAAAGTTAGTCCAGTTAATTGCAAAATAACAAGAAGCTTGCAGACTACAAGCAAAACAGGTCAAGAATGAATGAATTTTTTATTAATAGAAACTACAATAATAGAGTAACATATCAAGATCAGAAAAAAGCATTAAGAGCATAATCTACCAACACCAATCACATAAAAGGATAAAACGTACACTTAAAAACAGTAATCAACAGTCAAATGGTACCATGATTTCTTTTCCATGTTCAATTGTCGAAATAATTATGGTAACAAGTGAGAAACATGGATTTGATAGACGTACAGTAAGTAGGATTTCATGCTGAATGACTGAATATATACATATGATATATACATTTTAATAGAAATCTTTAGGATTATTACTGTATACTTAATTGGTCATTCACTTTCCTGAAGACTGAATCCTACTGAATAACAAGCACAAATATACTAGCAATTCAGGAACAAAGGCACAATGCTGTAATTACCAAATTACTTCCATTCTGTCACTGATAAGCTTCCTCTTGAGGAATGTTATTGATTCTGTTGGTTTCTTCCATGACTTCCAGATCGAAACTATCATCTTTTCCATCTTGGTCAACAGCTGATTCTGAATACTCAAAAGACTCGAATTCATCCCTTCCTCTAGCAAATGATAATTCTGACTCTTGTTTTATATCCTCTGCTGTATAGATTCCATTTTTGTGATTCGCAGTCTCAGCCTCTTCACCAATCTCATAATTCAACATTTCCATCTTCGTTTCTGCTTTCTCCTTTTCTCCATCATCCCACTTCTCGTCCTTATTTTTCTCGTACCTCCTTTCTTTTTCTTCATCCTTATCACTTAGAAAACTGGCAAATAAGGCTTTTTCTGGTCATCTTTGATTGCTTATTAGGCATGTACTTTGGCTTATTCTCCGAAACATCAGAGGAAATAAGACCAGTCTTTCTACTGTTAACATTGACAAGGAGGAGCTTAAGCTCATATACTATCCAGATGCCAAAAATAATCAGCAAACATGTTTGGACCATGTCTGAAGCCTTTAGCCTTCGGATTCCTAATAAGTGACCTTTTAAACATCAGGTAAGTTCACAGGCTAATAAAGTACACGGACACGGTATCTCTTTCCACTCTTTTTGTAAACACAAACTCAGGTACACCAAGCCAATATAATGTGACCCAATCCTGTAATGAAAGAGGCATCATTGGCAAATTCTTAAGAATATGCACAAGATTTTCATGGTACAAATACGTACTCCCTCCATCCCAATATATAGTTCTTGTTTGTGTTTTTTCACATTATTTAAGAAATGGGTGGAAAAAGGGAATAAAGTACATAAAAAAAGGTGAAAAGTACAATTATAGACAAAAGTTAGAAAAGAGAAAGTGAATGAAGTACATAGAAAAAAGGTGAAAAATACAATTATAGACAAAAGTTAGAGAGAGAAAGTGGAAAAAAGTACAAAGCAAGTGGTAAATTTAAGGGTAATTTAGAAAATACAATAAATAAAGTTTAAAAAATGAGGGTATAATGGTCTTTACTTACTATCCAAAAATGAAAAAAGGAACAATATTTTGAGTCTCCAAAATAGGAAAACAGGAGCTATAATATGGGACGGAGGGAGTATCAAAAACTCCAACATCGAAAACAAATGAAATGAATTGATAAAAGTAGATCTGAAAAACTGTTTACTACGAACTTGAACATCATATTGTTCTTAAGCGGACGAGAATGTCTAGACATTCAAGGACTATTATGCAATTTTTTTCATATTGTTCTCAAATAAATAAGAGTAAAAGAGAATGCAAAGAAAAAATACTTGTTGTTTCGTGTGAAAACAATGGGTCCTTCAGATGGACCTTTCCTGTGGGCTGAACACTGGAGTCGGCCCAAGTGATGGCTAGGACGAGAATTTCTTGCACAGTAATCATACGTAAACTAGCCTCGGGGGTTGTGCCGAAGTAAGTACAGTATTTTAGAGAGAGAAAACTATGTAAGAGAATTAATTGCTTAAGACTTAATGTGAATGAATTGAGAGAGAGAAGTGAAGGCTTTTATACCTTACTCAAATAACTTTGATAGGCCTTGGAGCCAAGTGGGCTTGCCACGTTGACTAGGCCTTTGACTGACTTGGCATGCATTAGAGAGTTGAACCTTTTTTGGGTTTTTAATTGAGTTATTTGGTGACCGGCCCAATTGGAGTAAATTGGACCCAAACAACTTGCCCCCAAGACTCGGTTCGGAAATTAGACGAATTGAGTTTTGACTTGCAAATTGGAGGGAAGCAAATGATTCAATTAGCATTTGAAATTTCGGAGTTATTGGAATAATAACGACTATTTAGAGTAAATGGGGAATTTGGAGAGTTTAGTGGGTGGTTACATGAGAAGCAAATGGAAGGGTGAAGCATTGAAGTGGAGTTAGTGGGGGCTTTAGTGGTGCGAACTCCCAGAATTCCTAAGTTTGCAAGTATATACACCACACATCCCACTCTCTCTCCTCATTTCGACTTTTGCTAATTTCTAATTGCTTTCCGCTAATCACTACCCTTAAAATCTTTTCCCTTTTTCAGTTGTACCTAGTTATTCGAAGTCGAAAATTGAAATTTATTGCTCCGAACTCACCAATCGGCAAATTCCACATCCGAACAAGGTAATTTTTGTCAATTTTCTTTCATTTTCTCTTGCTTTTTTAGAACCCCTCCTTTCCATTCATTCGCGCGACCACCTCTAACAATGGCTAGCGACTGTGGAAAGAGAAAGGTTGAGGCTAAGCCGAGTGTAGAAGAAGAGGATGAGGCTCCGCAGTAGATTTTGCGGTGGAACCGTCCTCTAGCGATGATGCCGACTCTCAGCGGCCAGAATCCTAGGGTTAGGGCTGCATCTAGCGCTCTTAGTGTTCTCCCTCCCAGGGCCTTAGGCTCGACTAGCAATTCTGGTTGAAGCAAAACTTTGATATCTAGGCTGCTGCCTCCTAAGGAAAGGGAATGGCTGGACAAGGCTGTAGATTCGGGCATTATGAGTTTTGCCCCGTATGATTGGTTGGTTAGAAATGATGTCGAATTCAGATTTGCTCGGAATATTTTAAATTTGCTATGAGATTATAGAGGAGGATGGGTATTGGTGCCGAATGCCCACTTCGGAAGATCAGATTCATCGTCCTCCGCCGGGTTATATCAGCGTTTATGTCTATCAGCTGCCGTACGGACTTCGGTTTCTGCTCCATTCTTTAATAACCCAGGTGTTGAATGGTTACAACATCTCGTTGTGTTAGTTGATGCCGTCGAGCATCCGAAGGTTGATGACATACCTTTGGGTGTGTCTTTTTCTCGGATTTTCTCCCAACCTTTATTGCTTCCGCTGTATACACAGATTGGTTCCCAATGTTCAAACGAATAAGCACAACGGCCCCGCCTGGTGGCAAATTGAAGATAAGAAGGACTATCTTTTAGTTTGGCCGAACAATACTTCAAACAGAGACTGGAGGGGACAGTGGATCAGGGTAAGGGCTCCCCAGGATCCAGAACACCCAAACTATTTCGGAGTGCCGAGGTATCTAAGGCTGCCTAATACTTACATGTCTATCATCGATCCTCATGACTTCACTCTTTTAGACCGAATGCAGATGAACCATTTTGGCCGGTCTAAAGTGCCTGGGGCCACGGGCCGAATGACGAATGTTCCCACTACTTGGCTGCCTTGTTGCCACTATATCTTCAGCGAGAAGATGCTTGCTGTCATCGGCCTCAGCCGAAAG